TTATTATTTGTAGCTTTGATCACGTTGTATCCCCTGTAAGGGACATACTTTACCAAAATAAAAGTTAAAAAAAATTATCAGTCTGGAGGGCTGTCTGAAATTGAAAGTTATGTATCATTCTATATTATGTTATAGAATAACTGTTTAAAAATATGAATCTTTTTATTGGAAAGTTTGAAACATTTTTTATTTAGTTGAAGAATTGAAAATCATAATGACATGATTGTTTTCAGTACACATGTTTTAACTATATGGGTTGATTTATCAATTTGGGTTTGTTATAGTTCCTCGTAAAGTTCAATTATTTATAGTACATGTTTGTAGATCTACTAGAGAAAATTTTGTCTTCTATGCACCAACTATCTCTGATATATATTTTTCTTCCAAAACTAGTAAGTTGACAGAGAGGAACTTAAACTATTGAATTATTACTTTTATTCTTATCATTAAATGAGTTAAAATATTTTACAATCAAATATTTTAACTCATTTAATAATATTATGACTAACAAAGTTCATGCATAGAAACTGGCCTACTCTGCACAATTAAATTATTTTTTTTAATTCACAGGAAAATTAATTTTTTGATTCATAGGTAAAAATTAATGGTAATAATTAATAATTTTCATTATTAATCATTTTGGTGAGTCCGGTCACTTAATTATGCAAAAATTGCTACATTTTATATATTTCAAAACTAAGTAATATATATATTACTTAGTTTTGAAATATATAAAATGTAGCAATTTTTGCATAATTAAGTGACCGGACTAATGAACTAATTAATCAAAATTAAATAAATCTTGCTTCGCATTAAGGGTACAGAGAAATTTTTTTGTCCATTAAGGCTACATAGTACTCTTTTATAAAAAACTTTTTTGGAGACAGTAACAATAAAAATAATTCATGTTTTATATCCAGATTATATTATAAAGGTGATTCAGAAAGATAAAATTTGGTTTGACCAGCCATTATTTTACAATTTTAAAAAATTCAGAATTAGTGAAGTATTTTCAAACTCCTATATATAAAATGCTCAATTTTTAAAATTTTTTAGTCATTTTAAGTTATTTATGTTTTTTTAGATTATTGTGAATAAAAGTTAGTACGGATTCTAAAATCTCCATTTCCTGGTTCATTTTTAATAAATATTTTTTTTTGAAAAACCTGTAAAAAAGACGAAAATTTTAAAAATATCAACTTTAGCATTTTTTAAAAAAATTAACTAGAAATCTCAGCCCTAAATCCATACTAACTTTAATAGAACATACATTTAGGAATATATACAAAAAATTTCAAGGCTGCATGGTGATCAGAAAAAAAAGCCTCAGGGCTTAGAAAACACTTATACCTTCAAAATTGAAAGTCTGAGAAAAAGCATTTAAAGTTTGTAAAGTCATAAAACAAAAACTTATATTTCCCGTAAAGCTCAACTTTTTTAATATGTTATTTTCCAATGTATGCTCTACATTAAAACACTATTTTAATTAAATATGCCTGGATATAATTTTTTTAATTCAAAATATATTTTTACATAACATTGATAGTATGTGTTACGATGACCAATAATTCAGCCTAATCTTAACAAAATATTTTCACAAATGTTTTTAAACGCAAATCGTTTATGTACAAAATAATAATGATACTAACTTAAGCTAAAAATAGCCAGGTTAGTTCATAAAATTTAATTTTTTTCGGGTTTAAATCGGGCAGTTTAGGAAGTTTTAACTCTTGTTGTACGATTTTAAAATACTAAAATATAGTACTACAATATGTTTAGTGTTATGTAGTTTAGTACATCAAAGAAATATTCAGCTTTATCTGCAATACTTGAATTCAGAATACTTATATTCGGAAGTCTAATTCCAGTGTCAGCAGAGGACTGATTTTTCGATACATCATTTTCGGTAGTATTCCATCTCTTCTAAATGTTGTTTCTTCCAGCAACCTGAGAATGTTTTGACCATGGCATTTTCTCTACAGGAAAAAATTAATAAAAGCTTCTAAGCTACATAAAATGTTTTTAAAGCAAAAATCGGCTATAAAAATAAATTTTAATTAATTAATTATGAGAATTCAAAAATAAATCAAAACGTAATGAAGCAGAAATGATTTTAATAATGACAACTGGAATTAAGAAGCATTTCACACTAAAAGAATTAATAGTGCTCAAAATATTTTTTAATACAATTTAAGAGTGGAAAAATGCTTTAAAATGAAACCGAAACCAAACCCACAGCTCAGAAAATTTCAAATATCTTAAAAACTAATTTGTTAACAGATCTGAAATTTGGTGGCATGTTTCTCAATGATATGAGTCACAAAAAATGCAAATAAACAAATAAATAAATAACATTCAATAGATATGAAATCTGTAGCCTTAAATTAAGAATCAACTATGATTTTTTTTCTACAACTCTGTGATTTGTATTAAATCTTCAAAATAGTTGGATAGAATATTTAAAAAGTTGTAGAGTTGTCAACACTATTCGATTGATAACTCCAACACATTATGTTCTCTAAGAAATAGGAATTTATACATATTTAAAAAAGAGAAGTAGTTTTATGTAGATATTTCCAGAGAACGATTACAAAGTATGACGCATTACACATTTGTTCTAACAGACTTTTTTTGTTTCAAAATTTTCAGAGTTCGTATTTTTGTGGTCAAAAGTAGGATGAGGGAAAATATACAACCTGCTAATATGACCTAATCAATGTCTGCATCAAGTGAAGGCTTTTAAAAACATGAAATGATTATTCTGTGATTTAATATTTCTAACTGCATCAAAATAAAATAGAGCAGAACCTATTGCAATTTTTTTATTTATTTATTTGTTACTCAGAAAGTCCAAGATCATCCAAGGCTGATGATTTTTCTATTAATTTTTATTAATAAATAGATCCATCCAACATACTTTCACGCATTTCGATATATTTTGAAGAGCCAAAAAACCTGGTACAGGCATGTGTATTCAAATAAAGAGATATGGAACCAATCAGAGTGCGGCACTGCTGTCGGCAAAGACTATATAAGGCAATGATTGTCTGGCACAGTTGTTAGATAGGTTACTGTGCTGCTACAATGGCAGGTTATCAAGACTTAAGTCAGCTTGAACATGGCGTTATAGCCGTCGCACGAGAGATGGGACATAGCACCTCCGAGGTAGTGAGGAAATTTGGATTTTCACGTACGACTATTTCACGAGTGTACCGTGAATATTGGGAATCCGGTAAAACATCTAATCTACGACAACGCTGCGGCCAGTATAAGATCATGCAATAACGGGACCAACGACGACTGACGCGAATCATTAAGCGGGACAGACGGGCAACCCTTCCGCAAATTGCTGCAGGTTTTAATGCTGGACCACCAATAAGTGAACCATTCAACGAAACATAATCGATATCGGCTTTCGGAGCCGGCCCACTCGCGTACCCTTGTTAACTGCACGACACAAAGCTTTACTCCTCACCTGGGCCCGTCAACGCCGACACTGGACTAGTTTGACGAGTCTGGTTTCCAATTGAATCGAGCTGATGGACGTGTACGGGTATGGAGGCAACCTCATGAATCCATGGACATTACATGTCATCAGAGGACTGATCAAGCTGGGGAAGGTTCTATGACGGTATGGGGCGTGAGCAGATGGAGTGATATGAGACCTCTGTTACGTCTAGATATGACTCTGAAAGGTAACAGATAGGTAAGCATCCTGTCTGACCACCTGTACCCATTCACGTCTATTGTGCATTCCGACGTATTAGGGGAATTTCACCAGGACAATACGACACCCGACTCGTCCAGGATTGCTACAGATTGGCTCTAGGAGCACTCTTCTGCATTTCTGAATTTAAACACTTCCGCTGACCACCAAAAGTCACAGACATTATCATATTGAATATATATGCTACGTGCTGTTCAGAAGAGATCTCCCTCCTCTCTTGCTCCTATTGATTTATGCACAACCCTGCAGGATTTATGGTGTCAGTTACCCCCAGCACAACTTTAGACATTATTCGAATCCATGCCATGTCGTGTTGTGGCACTTCTGCGTGCTCGTGGGGGCTTTACACGATATTTGGCAGGTATACCAGTTTTTTTTGGCTCTTCAGTTAAAATAAAAAAAAAATTGACTAAATAAAGTTTCGTTCTCTCTAAAGAAGCAATTCTCTCATTTTTCGAGTTCAATTGTGGCCGGGGTAGCCGAGTGGTATAGGTATCGGATCGTGGCTTGCCTTGTCACGAGTTCGAGCCCAGTACCACTAAAGACCCACCGTGTAGGGCAGCGATGCACGTTAAATCTGTCGAGAGCTGAAACGT